CGTCTAAGCAATCGTTGGAACTCCGGCGAAACCCCGTTTAGATTTCTCCTAGTGAGAGATGTCGCCTCAGAATGCACAGACCACTTTCGCATTTCTGGAGACCAGTAGGTAAATCAAGCATGACTAGAAAAGCTGACGCAGTCTTTCGGCATGTGCTTTGCGCCCTCTAATTGCAAAGTAATAGTAGTCTCTGAGCGTGCCTCTTAGAATTGAAAAAGTGCCACCGGAGTTAGCGAAACACTATTCAACTCAGAAGTTGCATTAGCTCTGACGGTAGTATGAAGGACAAATAGAACGCAGGGATCTCGAAGACCCGAATCGCATTTGCCTTGGGTATCGAAAGGGTGTCACCGAGTCCGAGCTTTGGCCAGGCATCTTCAGGTGTTGACCACGGACGATTCAAACTAGCGAATACGGAGTGTGGTGATTAGGTAACACGTCTTTGATAAAACAGACGATACTCCATCAAAGAATGCACCCGTTGTTTCACACTAAGGTGGCTAGACATGTGTTACGTATGACTACTTCCCGATTGTCTGGGACAGTCTTTTTCCCAAATGCAGGCAAATAAATCAGACAAGTGCTGCCTGAGGACTTCACCGTCTTTGGACAACACGGGATGACAGGTCGTCCGGACCAGAAACTCGATGGCGCTCGAGAGAAATTATGCAGTCGTAAACCTCCGAGACCGTAGGAGGCTCCATGTTCGCCGTCAATGATTCTACGTCAACTACGGCCCCTACATAAGTGGTAGCTGGTGGCCACAATAGCTGTTATTCAAAGTATTCGGCCCACCTATTGAGGCTTCATTCAAGATGGTCACTCCATCTTGATCCTTGATGGTCTCGCTCACAGAAGTTTTCCTGGGACCGGTCGCGCGGATCAGCTGAAATAATTTTCGGGCATTACCGTTTTTTGGTCTCCTCCTTGACTTCGTCCACTACCAAACTTCATGGTCAGCTCTCACTCACTTTCATTTGACGCCTGATAATTCGTCGCGTCAAGTAATGATCGGGACCGGCTGGAATATTTTCCCGAGGTTTAAGCAGTATCACTGTTCGGTCTGATGTCCGGTGCTTGAGTGAGCCGGGTTGCATGGTGCCACAGACGAAGAGGTGGCGACCTCGTCCCAGTATGAATCAACATCTGATGGTGAAACATCTGGAATAAATTCTAAAAGACGATCCTGGTAAATTCGTCTAACATCCACATCTGCTGATCTCAGTTGCCAGACGGTTTTTTCGCACCTTACGCGGCCCTGGAAAATGAAGGGGGAAGCGACTCCGGACGAGTGCGTAGTCGGGATCCATAAATATGTTCCCAAACGAGTGACAGTCAGTTATTGATTCGCGCCATCGGTAACTGATGGTAATGCGATTGATTTGAGTTCGTGGCCGGCACGCCGTTGTGGGACTTCAAATGGCCAGATGACTTCGGCTGTTTCGGTTGTTAGTACTGCATAAAAACGGTCTACAATCAGCATACAGCTGAAGTAATCGCTTCGCGTTGTCCGTAACGAGTCCAGTTCATACTGACCACCTAATTGAGTCTCAGGTGCGCTAAGCCTACCCATTTGTGCGTTCAGACCGGCAACCTCAACGGTATCTGAGATTTACCTCGCCGCAACAGGACATTCAGGGTGTTATGAAAATTGTCAGAGACACAGTCAATTGGGGTGTATGCAGACATGACAAATAGGCATAGATCAACTTCCTCCTTGTGAGACTCCACATATGTTGCCAGATGAACCGCACAGAGGCGACTATCAACGGGTATCCAGTCAACCAGTGATTCTTCCGACTTAGGGCGATGCCCTCCATATCCTGCCGCAGCTGCCCATGGATCGCCAGAAGTGCGCAGTCGGAAGCAAATGAGGAGCGATGAGGCAATTAGCCCGACCGCTGTTCTTACAAATTGAATGGTTGTTTCTGGTACACAGCACAGATGTCGTTAGCAAAACCGATGTAGGACGAACGGAGTCATCAGTCCTAAGTTCTGGGCCTATGAGAAGAGAGTTATTAATGGAGACCAGGTGGCTCAGTGGTTAGAGTGCATTTTTACTGACCGGAGGGTCCGTGATTCGAACCCAACTCTGTATCTCGATTTCTGTCTAGGCTTGGGCAACATGACAGTGTCACAGCCCTCATGCTTCTCTCTTGTGACATGACAGCTAGTCACCGAAAATGTGTTGTAGCGGAACGATTCTTCTTTTATTATCGATGGTGTGTGTGTGTGTGGGGGGGGGGAAAGTATGTGAAAGAGAAAGAAGGGAGGCGTTAGCAGTGGCCTGCTTTCGCTTACCCTGCTGTTTGCAGCAAGTAAGGCATCATCATCAATGACAGCAACATCAGTGTTGGCACTGATGCTTCACACCGCAAGTAAGGCAACCAGGCTAGCGATGGCCAATGTGGCACGAGAGTGTTGTTGTAGGTCTCACGGTTGTACGTGGGCTGTGATAATGCCAGGGCACCCAAACCCAGACAGGGGGACGATTAAGGTCCTCACACAAAGCTTTTGGTTCAAAAGCCTAACGGCAAAGCGGCGGAAAATGCAAGTGCAGTACTATTTTTATAGAACAAGTTGCCAAACATGTTCTAATCCTCAACGTTGGGAACCAAGAGACTGCTGGTCAGACCTCTAATCATCAGCCAGCGTGGTGTGAGGGGCTCCGTGGGTGTCGCACGAACACCACCCAGTGTAGCTCGATGTGTCATGTTGACACACAAACCAACACTACGGTAACATCTAGCCTCTTTGTGACAGTGTCCAGGGGCTCGGTTGCAGGAGGCCAGCTAAACTTTTCTTCCAAATGCTTGGCTCACATATCCATTTGGCGTTTTTGCGAGTGAAAAACTGAGTAATCCTTTTCACTTATTGCTTCACTGACACTTGATTTCCTTTAGCCAGTCGAATGTAGGTGGTATAAGGCACTGATACTGCCGGTGGTGGTGTTCACCTCGTGAGCTTTCATTGTCCACCAGAGTTTTCGATCTTTCCTTAGACCCTTGGCGGATTTAGATATGCCACTGCACTTGTTGCCTCCTGATGTGGATTCCCTTGCATCAGCCAGGGCTATTAGTCTCGGTGACATCCAGTTGTCCTTTGGTCGCATGGGAAAAATCGGACAGACAGGCTTAAACTTTGCCATGCTTCATCCACGTGTTCGGTATCGGGGCTTTGTTGGTTTACTTCATGTAGTAGTTAAGGTAAGTCATGGTGGTTCTTGATAGTTTCGGGGTTGATGGATTGAGTCACTGACTTGCGAAGGCCTGATGGGCCAGTCGCCGTATGCTGTGATCATAATAAGGTGTTGTGCCCCAGAAGAAGCGACATTCGTGACTGATCGTCGTGGCTGATAGCCATATGATCCAGCTGGGTCCACGGTTAATTCGCACTTGGTGACCACCAGGTTACGCGGCGCGAGCGTTTGGGTTGAGAATTAGTGTTGGCTAGAGGCTGGGAGAGTTGCTGCCCGTCACCCCTGTGGTGAGCATCAACTCCTAATCGAGCGTCCAGCTGATCCCAAGGTGCTCAGACAACGAACTTTGGCATTCATGTCTGCTGAATTGACAATGCCACTGCCTATTGCTTGATGATTTAGCCTGAATAAATCTCGATAGAGTAGCCTCAGCAGTCCGTCGGGTATGGGCTTTGAGCTTGATTGAGCTGGCGCGAAGACTGTCCCTGGAGTCTACTGCAGCAGTGCGCGTTCAGTCATAGAGCTGAGTGCCATGAAGTTAACGAGTAAATCGCTTCTGGATCACCAGAAACGCAGAGAGAAAGAGCCGAGTTGATCCTAATGCTTTGAGATGCACAATCACGCTAGAGTCTTGTATACTTGTCTGTTTTAGAGACAACGCACATGGACTTTGAGAGTGTAAGGTCGAAGCGAGCACTGTCAATTTGACATAGAGTATGAACTTCGAAAGCTTCTGTATAGAAAGTATGTCGTGAGTTTACCGAAGTATTTGTTCATCATTACTGGACAGTCTGGGATAATTTACATTGTCAGATAGCTGACAATCAATCGATCCGCGACTTTTTCTTATAGGGTGAGAAGCATTGAGGAGCGCTATTAACGAGCAAAGAATTGTGCGGGTAAATGATGTATACCCTTTGTCCAGGCCGATGAGGAGAATTTGTTTCAGGCGCATTCATCTGGGCCTTTGACTCAAAAGTTTGATCCACAAGTCAGTGGTAGCAGGAAAGTTTTTGTTCAAGAGCCCTGTCCCTAGCTTCTGAATCGAAAACCTGACCCATTAGATAGCGAACAATAAGGTTTTCTTTGTGGATCCTGCCTGGAGCCGATAAAACAATAGTCTGACCTGCTCGGCTGCCGGAGGATGGTCTAACCCACTACTAGTGTTACGGCGTATAACAGATGCGTTTCGATCAGCATCCTGGTCTGTACAGCTTTCAGTTGTATTCCGACTGTACTGGATACCTCTGCGGTGGTCACGGCGGTCTCGGTAGAACTGTACGAAACTTGGGTTCAGTATTGCTTCCATAAATATGAACTGAATGGTCGCATGGAGGAGACCCCTTACTGCCTTCACATTACAATTGCAGGGGACGCTAAAACTTTGCTCTCAGACCTCGTAGTAAGGTTCTTCACAGTGCGAATCTCGCTGCACTTAATCTGACTATTTCTCTTTGGCCTTCGTGGCATGTTTGCACGTTGTGGAACGAGGTTCCAGCCAACGCAGCCTGCGGGATCATTGCGGAACTTTAACCTGACCACATGTCAAATTGGTAACTTTTAGTTGGGTGTGTTGGGGATGAACGATCGATATGAAAGAGCGTGTCGCAGAGGGAAATAACCGTTTTCAGACTATCGTAAGCGCCTGTGTTGTACACTGCGTTCAAATACTTTCTTATGTAAGGAGACTGACTGATCACACAATGAACTTGGTTTTACTCTTCATTATCAATAATGGGACTCTGCGTCCACTTTTTATTTGTCACACGAATATTTGACTGAAGTGTTCTGAACTTTCCAGTCTTGGATTTCATCCCAATGGCAACTGTACGGAAAGGACTTGCGTTACGAAATAACATTGTTGAACATCTATCCAAGGAGGTATGTTAGCTCATTATTTTTCACTTCAATTTCCACAGCCCACGAAAGCTTCGGTGAAGAAGTCTCCTGTGACTAAGCCTACCGTATCAGCCAAAACGGGACCCAAAGTGCCCTTCAAGATTTTCGAAGATCCAGTTTCTGCTAACTGCCAACATTGCGGCTCTGAGCGCAGGAAACCCAGTCTTCCTTGCAGAGAAAGGGTTTCGACAACATCCGTAGGAGTTCAGGCATGTGATACTGATATTCGGGAATGGTTATGTGCTGGTATTAGTTGTGTATTGTTTTCAAGTTCGCTTTGCAGAAAAGCCCACCGAAGGCTACTGGGAAGAGCTAGCCGAACGACGACGCGTGGCCTTAAAAGAGACACTTGATGAGAACCGAGAAGTGGGTCTCACTTTACATCGTCAGCATTTACTCATGTTCTAGCTATGCACTCTGGTTGAATCTCTCAACAAGGAGATTGAACGTTTAAACCAAATAGAGCAACAAGCAGAACACTTTGCGCGGATGTATAAAGTACGTTCTTTTCTGAATAAAGAAGCACCACTATATCCTCACTCAGTGATTCACAGTCCTTCACAGTAGTTTGTTGTATGTCCAAAAAAACACTTTCGATGTTAGATACTGCGTACAACTGATGAACCTGCCTTCTGTTGGTTAGCCTTCATAGCAGATTGAACAGCACCATTTCTTTCGGTGCTGACGGTCTGTAGATTCATAACCGCCGTACGTTCCTTTCCGGTCTCTGTCGCTACTGTCTACTTCATCATCATCATCANACACCACGGTAAGGTCCAGTCTCTTCGTGACGTGTCTACTTAGTACTCATACTATAGATGCAGGAATTCCAGGTTTTTCTTTTGTAATCTCTGTTTTGTTTCGAAATCATCCCCTTCGCGTAGTCCCGTTATTACGGTTGCCGCACATCTATCAACGCATAGGGTTTGTGCACGCCCTATTCTCAGTATCAGTGGAAAACGTACGTCACTACAACGTCATAGGCGTAGCTTGGTACGCATCAGCTGTTGTCGGCAAATTTTTGGATATCGGCAGGTATGTGCCTTTGTAGAGGGATTCAAAGCCTGACAACGTGGGTGTACGTATGCGTGCGTCCTTATGCTTTGTTGGCGTTCAGGTACAGATGAAGAACACGAGTAAAAGAGCATAGGTGCTCGAGCGATGTAGAGGTTCGCCACATCGACCAAAGAATTGAAAACATGAGAACGAAGAAGGTAGCGAACAAAGCTTGTTT